TCGGATTCAACCATTATGAAGTAAATAACTTTTTTTAATTATAATATCATGGTGAAAAATTCCAAGAACTAATTTAGAGACTAAATGACTAACTTATAATATAGTTTAGTTAAATTAAATAACCTAAGTTGTCTCTAATATTGGCTACTAATTAAAAACAAAACTCAAAATTATTCAATTAGAGTTTAATTTTCAATTAATAACCAAAACCTTTAAAAGTTAAACTTATAAACAAATTTAGATTCTAATTTAGAAATTAGTTTGTTGAAATAATTTATAGTTAATAAATATAATGATCAAATTATGACTCTAAATTAATTTATATTTAATAAATCTATTGTAACACAAGTTGAAAAATGAACACACTGTGAAAAATAAAACATTCTTTTCTACGTAATTGAGTGTGAATAAATTATATAATTTTGCCTTTCACATATAGATAGGTAGTGTAATGTTGTAAACTATGATATGGAAGGTTGTATTTAATTATTGAGATGATTTTGTTGTAGTTATGATAGACAATATAATATTACAAGAGTATCCTTTTATATTCTGTGACATAATGTTTTTCAATCATATCACAACTTGTACATAAATTAGATTGATTAATATTAAATTTTGTTAGATCATAAAATAAAGTCGAAAATCCAATCCCATAGGTTAACAAATTTAAATAGCAAACTATTTTGCCAATAATTTTAAGTTATTTTCTTCACTTTTGCATCACTGGATAAATCACTTTTAACCTACCAATTACTATGTTGCTTCACTATTCGTAGGACAAATTTAAATGTATCAACTTTTGCCAAGTAATAATGTCGGAGAAATAGTACATTCTAAAAGAAAAAAAAAATGTATAATTTTGATTTGTTGGAGAAATTAAAGTGTGCATTTGATAGATACAAAGGGTTGGGTCTCTATTTTAAATTATTGAACATGACTTTTGGTAGAAACACAGGTTTTGAAGGGCTTTGAGGATAATTTTAATTGAAGAGTTATGTCTCTACATTCAAGGTTCATAAAATTTATGTTTCCATTTAATTATAACAAACATTATGGCTCTTAATATAGGCTTTGTGTTTATTTAGAATGAAGTAAGTAATATTGAACACTCTAACATTTTCAAACTAGTGAAGGACCGAACCTTTATATAAAACTACCTTTTTATATTAATGGTCTAAACTAAATTAATATTAAAATTATTTTTATATCAGTAAACTGATGTTGAAGTGATTAAAATAAAATATTTATACGTTACTACTATTTGTGTGTAAATTCTAAATGTTATTACAAATGTGATAAAAGAAGATAAAAATTGTGATAGTATAAGTTTGTCATTAAAATAAAAAAACTTATAATTGGAATGAAATTTTATGATGATAGTATTCTCTCTAGAAGAGTTTGTTACTAATGTTGTTACAAATTTAATATTATATTATGGATGAAGAAGGATTGTTGATGAAGAAAGAAGATTATTTATTTTTTATGATGTCTATGATATATAAGTAGTTAGTACGAGTACTTTGTATAAAGTCAAATAATTTAAACTTTGAAAGTAAAAATAATCAAACATATTAAAACTGAAATTGTGTTAATCGATTAGATAAATACTTAATCAATTATATGACTTAAAACCAAGTTTTCATAATACACGCTAATAATCGATTATGGTAACTTAATCGATTATTTGCCTAAATCTTAGTTTTAACACAACGCGCTAATAATCGATTATGTTGATATTTAATTGATTATATGGTTATTTTCAGACTATCACTGCACTCAAATAATTAATTAGATAAGTCTCGTTATCGATTATCTCGAGGCAGTTACAACAATTTTCTTTCTATAAAATATACAAATTTTCTTCAATCAAATATATCTTTGACAAATAGTAAAAAACAATAAGAAAGAACGTTGTGGACATCAAGAAAAGTATATGTAAAATACTTTGAAGATCAAATTTAAAGAAAGGTTGTTTGACTATGAGGTGTTTTGTTCTGTGAATTAAGGTAAATTTGTTTCATATCTTTCTTTTGTGAATCTTGTATTAAATTTTGATATATATGAGGCTAATTACATTAGTTTAGCTTGAAAACTGTGACATTTTCAATTATTGTGATCTTGATATAATGTTGTAAATCAAGATCTCTAGATTAAGTTGTAATCTGGTTTAAAGTAAAAAAAAAAAAAAAAAAAACTCTAGGCTAAGGTTGTTTGGTTAAAACTGGATGTAGAGTCAAGAAGAATCGAAGCAGTATAAATTTATGAGTTTTTTTCTTCTTATATCTTGATATTCTTGTTTTCTAAAAATTGTTATAATTCTTCTGTTGAAATTCTTTCATAATTGATTAGATTTGAAAAGATTTTGAATACCAAATTCACCCCCTCTTGAAAAAGTTGTCATTAACATTTTAATAACATATATAATAAGTAATATATATTTAGAGGGATATTATGTTGTCATAAAATATCGTTTTAGTGGAAACAAGTTTACTTAAATCAAATAATGAAAATATGATCATTTAAATAAGTATATAAAATGCTTAAGCAAGAGATAAATTGTGTTATAATGTTTTAAGTAGAACATATATGGCATTTGAAGGAGAAAGTAAACATGGGATTTCAATGCTTAAGTGTAACAAAACATGTAACACCCTTCTACCCCAAAATATTTTCTTTAATAAATAATAAAATACAAAAAATAAAAGATAAAATGATTCACATATATCACTTCTTCTTATAAAACTCATAAAAATAAGCAAAATAAAATATTAAAATAAAATATTTTAAGCACTACAATTTCTTTTACAAAACTTTAAAAGAATATTCTTAAAACAAAATTAAAATAAATGTATGATCTTGTTGCCTTGATGTCACACATAATCGTAGCATCCCCTAAATCAAAGATAAAAAAAATTCTAAACTCTATTACCCAGTTCCTTCTTATCGAAAATTGGTTTACCTATATAAACGTTTAACCTAATAAATAATACAAATAACAAAAATAGAGGAGTGAAAAAATATCTCATATATGTTATAAACACATAAGAAATTGGGTAGAACTAAACACCCACAAATAACACCTTATCAATACATAATCATAAACTCAATCAAATAACCCAATCGGTAGAACTAAACTCGTGTAAACATCATCTTAACAACACATACTCAATCATAAACTCACTTAATTAACTTAATGTATAATCTTATGCTCTTATCTTTAAATGTATGTGGTACCACACAATGCACACAATTTTGAAGTGGTTTACGAGTACATGAATCGGATTGCAATGATCTTATCAATCCACTTTTAACTAGAACGGGTCTAACAGAAGTCAGTCGAGATACTGTAGTTAACTGTGAGTGAATCTCATCTTAATCAGATAAGAGGTCCCCTATTCTAAAATCCCCAAGGCCAAGGTAGAAGACCACAAAGACCCTCCTTCGTAGATCACATTCACCCCCAGGAAAGTATGAATGAATGAAGTATGTACATATAAATACATTACACACAAATGCATAACCTATTTTAAATGACCAAGTATAACTTGGATTTTCACATTGCTAAGACATTGCCTAAACTTCTCAAATGACTGAGCAAAACTTGGATTTTTGCACTACTAAGCCATTACTTAAATTGCTCGTATGACCAAGCATAATGTGGGATTTTATCCATCCTAAAAAAATTAATTATTTAGGATTTTATTCAATGTGAGACTCATGAACGTAATGAAACATAGACCCCAATTGAAGACTAAAGGGTATACATGAGTGGAACGAGACTCAACTCTTAGTCCCACATTAATATTTCATCTAGGAATGAGAGTATCATGATCTCATCATGTCCAAGATATTATTTATTTTAGAACTCTCGTTTATTACAATTTTGTCCTTAAAACTTAAATATTTACATTATAATCTTAACTTCGAATTTAGTTTTTAATTTTTTAAATAGAAGAATTTAAGAATTAAATAAAACAACTAAAATTTAAGGACTTGGTTTGATATAGACTACGGTTACGATGTTTCTCTTCTGCGGAAGGTTATAATGGCGTATAATTTCAGGAATCAAAACAATAATTTATTTTTTTAAACAATAATGATGATGATTTAGTCTTAAAAATTATGATGTATTTCATTTATATATATATATATATATATATTTTTTTTTTTGTAACTTCTTTTTCGTTTTACAAATATATGATAAAGTTAGTCATACAACTTTTTTATTTATTTATCGTTGAATATGTAAAAGATACACAAGATAAATTATAAAATAAATAAAACAGAAAGAAAATGTGACATTATATGTAACAAAAATTTAGTATGAACAAATCTATTATTCAAATGTTAATTATAACAATTTTAATTATTTCACTGAAATGTGGCAAAAGAGTTTCTTTTCCAGATATAGTATCATTTTACTTAAAAAAGATGTGCATTCTCCAATTAAAGCATTATCTTAGAATTGCTCCTTTTATAGACAGTAAAACCATGAATAAATTAACAAGTTGAATAAGAAATTAATTAATTTTTTGAAATACAGGAAAAATGCTATTTTTTCAATAAAGATATTAAAAAAAAAACTATTTATGACAACTTTGACCACAATTAATTCCAAGTCACAAACCGCTGTAGCAGTACTCGTTTCCAAACGATTCCGTTTTATATATTTTTTTTTCTTTAAATACATGGTCGTTTCGCATTGTTGTGCTGAAAAGTAAATTCCATAACCACCCTTTCCCACTGTCTCCTATTCTTTCTATTTCTTAACAAAACGCCAACGCCATAAACAAAACGACACACTCTCTCTCTCTCTCTGTATTACACTTCACACAGAAAACTCCTTATGCTTCATCCGTAAAACTGTAACTGTCTTCCACACTCTCAGATCTTCGCGCGGAACCTTCTTCATTTGGATTTGTGTTCTACGGAATTTTGCCAGAATGAGAGATTCTACGTTATCGGTTTCGATGCTACAGTAGCAGTTACAGTAGTTTATGCAACAGAAGAAGAAGAAGAGAAAAATGGACGATAGAGGAAGCTCATTTGTTGCTGTGAGAAGAATTCCTCAAGGAGAAACCTGCCATTCAGATTCTGGTAAATTTCTAAACAAAATTAAATACAAATCACGAAAATGCTTCGAAATTTCTTGTATATTTTGTTTTTTCTTCTTTTATTTCACTCTTTCTCTATTTTAAAGTTTTTTTTTTCTCTTTTTTCATTGTCTCTTTGATGGGTTTAGTTTGTTGTACTTGTACGTTTAGTATTGTATCTCTTCTTTCCTTTTACTTCTCTCTCTCTCAGACACTCCTTTCTGCATAATATATATATATATATATATATATATATATATATATATATATATATATATATATATATATATATATATATATATATTATTATTATTATCTAATATTTGGACCGGATCGAGATCGACCCGTTTTATAATAGACCGAGTCGAAACGTGAGTTCCGTGATGTTTGCTGCTATTCTTAATTGCATAGGTGGGATTCTCGATTCGTTTTGTGCAATTATTTATTATTTTATTATATATTTTGTTTTTAGAAAAAAAAAAGTTGTGTAATTTTCATAGTTACAATTATACAAATTCAGATGTTACTTTGTGGCATCTTCTTTTTTTTTTTGTCTCTGTGAGGGTTGGTTGTTCCGGTAGATCTAGCTTTCGTGAAATTGGGTTCGTGTATTGGGAAATGTTATTCACATGTTGTGTTTGAAGCTGGTGCCAATAGCTGTGATTCAGCATAAAGCACCGCAGAGGTCTCCCATGATTAGGCGCTGCTGCGTTGGCTCTTCTTCATTATTATTATTTTTAATGTGTGTGTTTCTTTGTTCGAGGGATGTTTTGGCATGAGAGTCCACATCCAGGTATAGCCTTAGTTTCTGGATTGACCCTATAGGGAACACAGAAACTAAGCCTTAAATATTAAGGATTCATTTAGGATTGAGTAAAACTCAGTTTTGATAAAATTCTTACTCAGCATTATAGGAAAAGAAAAATAAGAAAATAGGGTGAATTAAGGTGCTTCTACAAGGTCACCAGCTTATACATAAGCTCATTTATAAAAACTGTCATTTGACTTCAATAGATGTTGATTTTAACTTATAGAAGAAGTTTAATTCATTCCACATTATGTGTTTGTTGAGAACTTTTCAGTGTTTATGACAGAAGCACTTATGTGTACTTGTAAGTGGCTTCCACAATCGGGCAAGGAATAGATTTAAACTGTGTTTAAGTTGTTTGATGTCTTGATAAGTTTATCTTGAAGAACTTGTTCAAATAAGCTGACAAGAGTTTTATTGATATACATCAGAAATTATTTTCATACATACTTTGTAATACTTATGCAAGTACTTGTGCCATCAAATAAGCCTAAATAAGTTGTAGATAGGCTCTTGTCAGCGCATCCTAAAGATTGACCGGCAGATTGTGTCTCTTTTCCCCGGGAATTGAAATTTCTATACAGCCTATAAGGGACTGTAGTTTGGGGAGATGGAATGGAATGGTGCATTGTGCATAATTTAGTGTCACTTTATATTTTAAGCCATCCCAGTTATGTTAATGAGGATTTGATTGCAATAAATTGTAAATTAGGCAAACTGCTAAGAAAGCAATACAATGCTGTCGCTTTCTGTGTTGTTTGAAACACTGCTTGGTGGTCTATTAACTTTAGAATGAAATATGTAGCATAAAATAATTTTGTGTTGAATCTTCATTGATGGCAATTTTGTTTTGTTGCAGCTGAGGTTGTGGCAGGGTCAGCAGCATGGCTTGGTCGAGGTCTGTCTTGTGTCTGTGTACAAAGAAGAGATAGTGATGCTTCTAACTCTTTCGATTTAACCCTAGCCCAGGTAATTTTTTTGTAGCCACTAAAACAGCACTTAGAGTTTCTGTTCAATTATATCTGTTAGACGTGTAATGATCCTACAAAATTAAAAACATGAGCACAAATAAGTATATTACATATTGTATATGGAATAATAAACATTTAACAATTTAGATTTGTATTCAATGATTTGTCTTCTTACCAAATAACAAAAATAGAGTTAAATTGTAATTCTGGTTACGTGTTTTTTTTTGTTTGTTCGCTTGATTATCATCCATATATTGTGTACGGTTTGGGAGTGCCAGGAAATCTTTGTTAAAGAGAATCTTGATTGCCAATAGCTAATCAACTGTTGTGTATAGTGGTACCAAGAAACTCGAGCTCCCTCTACCATATGAAATTGTGGATCACTTTCTACATATCTTTTGTTGTAGATAATTCAATCAGTGTGATATGTTAATTAATTGTTAGAGGCTGTTAACTAATTCCTTGTAATAGTACTATGGTAATGATGTAATGTGATACATATCTGTGTGAAATATAAAATTTCAAACTTAGTACCCATATCTCTCGTTTCGTTTCCCTTTTCTTCTGTGGTTTAAGTGAGTGTTTAGTTTGTTCTAATTCTTTTCAGTTAGATATTGTTGTTTATAATTATACCACCTGGTGTTGAATTTCCAATTCTTAGGAGGAGTGCTTGCAGAGGCTACAAAGACGTATAGATGTTCCATATGATAGTTCTATAATTGAACACCAGGTATCTTTTATATTAATACTTTTCAAGTCTCTGTAAGCAGTGTGGCAACCATGGTGATGTGCTGTCACTGGCTTATTGCTGTACGTGAAATATTCAACGTCTTAAGAGTGTAATTTACATATTTAGGATGCCCTTAGGGCTTTGTGGAATGCTGCATTTCCTGAAGAAGAACTTCATGGCTTGATATCTGAGCAATGGAAGGAAATGGGCTGGCAAGGGAAAGATCCATCAACAGATTTTAGGTAGCTATTTTCCTCTTTTTTTTTTTCACTGTCAAATCTAGAACTCTTTCCCGCTATTGTTGTTTATAATAATTTCCTCCGTGCATTTGGCAGGGGTGGTGGTTTTATATCATTGGAAAATTTTCTTTTCTTCGCTAGGAATTTTCCGGTACGATTACTTTCTTGGTTTTTCACTCTAATCTAATTTTGTAATGATAGATTACTTTTGTTGACCAAAATTAAAGTTTAGAATGGAAAGCATGATGAGTGAAAGCTCATAACTGCCAGAGAAAGTAACATAGAAATTGTATTAGTATTAATATTAGTTTCTTACAATGAAAGGAACTTCTGTAGATATAGTGTTATTGTAGGGTGTTGATTTTTTAAGAATGGGTATATCTCACTCCGAGGAATGATTTCAGATGAATTGTGAATTGTGATGTAGGAAAAAAAAGTCTTCAGTAATTTAGGAAGATGTCCATGTATATCTGAAGAAAATTCTTGTGTTTAAACTTTATCCATGATAGATGAATTGTGACCATATAATGTGTATGGTTTGGGAGTGCCATATATTGTATATTCACTTGCATTCTTTGAAAGAAAGGACATAGTAGCAAGTCTGATTGCATTATAAACGAGAATGATGTTTAAATTAATTGATGCTTTTTTTGCCTGTCTTTCTTTTAAATAAAACTTACTTTAATAATATCTCTAACATATGATGAGATCTGAGTCACTGGTAAACTGTACTCCAGTATTCATCTTTAGTATCCGGGTCAACAGGATCAAGATGAACTTCCTTGACACTTTTACTCTTTTGATGGTTATATTTATGCTTAATTTTTCTATTGAACAGTTGTTTATTTTGTTTCTGTAGGTCTTGATAATTTACCTGATATTTGTAATCTTCTGGGCTCATCTAGATTCTTTTTTTTAATCGAAAAAGGATTATTATCATTATTCTTATATTTGAACGAAAAAAATTCAGTAGACGATATGATATTCTACAAAGGAAAAGACAGCTGAAATAATGGTGAAAAAATAAGAGGAAGCTACAATACACTCCCAGAAGACAGACTCCCAGCAAAACTCTGCAAAATATATAATAAATCTAAAAGGAAGCATATTTAATCCTCTTGATTGCTTTAGGCCTTCCATAATCAACAATGATATGTGGACACTTCAACCTCTTGTCTCTTTTTCTTCTCTGATATCCTGTCATACCATAATTCCCCTCTAATTATTACTTCTCTCCCTTATATGTCTTTCTCTCCTGTTGTAGACTAGCTTTTGGTGTCTACAAAAAATTATCCATCCATGATTTACTGTTGTAGGTAACCTGAAAGTCATTTTTATACATTTTTGTGAGACCCTTTCTGCCCTATTGGTTTGTCTTTGTAATTAAATCTAATTAGTATTGTTCGATCCCCGAGAACTACTAAAATTTTTCTTAAATCTATTCACTTGTTTCCATCATGTTCTTTATATTTATCCTTTTATTTTTGTAGAAATCCTTCCAGGATCTCTTAAGAAAGCAGGAAGGAGATCGATCAGTGTGGGAATATCCATTTGCAGTTGCTGGTGTTAATATCACTTACATGCTGATACAAATGCTGGATCTTGAAGCGGGTTCGTTACTTCTGTTATTAAATCTTCTTTGTTCTCTGTCGTTATCACGTCTAAAATGAAGAATAGGATCGCTGTGTGTATGTATGATCAGTTTCATTGAGCACCCATGATGAATCTACTTTTTAAGTTGCTCTTTTAATTTGTATGTTTATAATTTTGCATAAAGGAGTGTAACAAAAGTCACCTTCTATCACCATCTGAATCACTGATGGTGCCATATCGTGGTACATTGAATCAGTATTTGGATCAGCAACATCTAATAAAATATATTTTACCTTTACAGTCAAGCCACGCAATCTGGTTGGAGCAACATTTCTAAAATTTCTTGCAGGTAGCCTAACTTTCCCATTTTATTTTGTTATTTTACTTTTCGTGAATTTGGAAGAGGACAAGGAAGAGTAGGAACTTTAGTCAAAGTGAAAAAGGCTTATTTAAAATGTTTCAGCTTTTAATTGCACGTTGCAGCCTTCATTTTAAGATTGCTGTTTAAGTAACTAAATTCATTCATGTTTATCTGACAGAAAATGAGTCAGCTTTTGATCTTCTGTATTGCATAACTTTCAAGCTAATGGATCATCAATGGCTTTCTATGCGGGCATCATACATGGATTTTAATGTACGTATTCTATAACCTCAGCTTGCTGTAGAAAAAGGAGAAGCTTGTGGCACAATCAATTTTTTGAGTGTAGAAGTTTGCTACGAAGGAAAGGGGAAGAAGGATAAGAATAGAAAATCAATAATAAAGCTTGTGCATCGTGTATATAGATGGAAGATATCTTGGAATTAAAAACTAGTCTGAAATTTTTTATGCGAAGAGGAAATTGCCTGCGTGAGCACTGTATTTGAGAAACTGGCACGATCCGTTTTGGCTAAAATATTCTTTTGGTTATTTATGTTTTTACAAAAATAAATTCATCTTGGTCTTTTATTTTTTTAAATATTTATTTTGGTAATTTTTCACTTAAATTGTGCTCCTTTATCCACTAAATTTTGGACAATTTAAACCCTTTTTTTTAACTGTTTAAAATAACGAATTTTAATGCAAAGATAAAGAAGGAAAAACAGATTGTAGCGATCCTTTCTTCACATAAAAGTTGCGGGGGAATAATGTATTTAGAGTTTGTCCCGGAGGTGTAGCTATTTCCTAAGGGTATTTTGAAAAAGTGAGTTTTTTTAGCCAGAGTTGATTTAGAATAATTATGAATATTTTATTATGAATTTTATATACAATTTAAAATTTAAGCAGAGTTATTTATAGAAATGATTTATTTTTTTATTTTAAGTAAATGTGAAATATACCTATAATAAAATATTTATTTTTATTCTTATGCATTGTTAGCGATTAATGTATTAATGTGAGTTGTTTAGCATTTTTAGATTACCAACGACGATCTGCTAATATACCTATTACTTCATATTCTGACAGGCAGTGATGAAAGCAACACGACGTCAGCTAGAGAAAGAGATCCTCGTTGAAGACATAACACGGCTTGAAGATTTACCCTCATACAAATTACTTTCCCGATAGTAACAGTCTCCTATTTTTCGCCAAGAGGTTTTTGTATATCATTTTATGCTCTTATCTTAATTTTCACTCCTGTCAATGCAGCAATTTTAACAGCATTTCAGCCAGATTGAGCTGTAACATGTAAAACTGATTTGATGAGCTTAAATCCTCATACGTCATGTCAACAAGGTTTGAGATGCAGCAGTTACGGTTTTAGTTTAGTTGAAAGATGATATTGTTGGCTGAAATGTAAATTTACTTGGTATTGGATATCAGTGATTTGTGATTTGCCACTTTACCTATATATTTTCCTTGCAGTATGAAGGGGGTAAATGCAGGTTGAGGTAATGTATTCATTTCAGAAAGCCCTATTATTTCATTTTTCTGACCTTAATTAATATACTGCATATTTGTTTGAGTAATAGAATCAATATGCTGCATATCTATCATAAAGATTGCATTCCTTTTATCATCTTGGATATTCTATGCAACCAGACTAAATTTCTTGAATTATGCTTAAATCAAATGTTAGTTGAGGATTTTTAACTTTATTTTAAAAAAATTATTAATACAAATATATAGCCCACTTGACGAATGTTTTAATGAATACACAAAATGGAAACAATTTTAATACGATAGTTATTAACAGTAGTCTTATTTTAATGTCGGTCATTTAAAACTCGTAAGTTTAAAATAAATTTGAAGTGACTACGATGAGGAGAAGTCCCTAAACACGAACATTGTGCATGCAACAATCAGTTACCATTATATTTCTATAATTCTTATTAATTTAATGAAATGTATCCGTTCAGTCATTTTTTTCTTGATCAACTAAACTTGGAAACTGTGTTTTTTTTTCTTCTAAATAAAAACATTAGAGTAAAGATAGTTACAATTGGTATCATATAGAAATTTAGCATGTTTTGAAACTATAAACAACTGTATAAAGTCAATTCTTATTTTTGAGATTTACCACAAATATTTCCATTCATACAATTAGTGAACAAAAACTATATTTGTTTGTCGTTGTCAAATATCTTTTTGTAAATTATGATCATAATTATGAATTAATGAAAAAAATATCAATATCTTTTTATTTATCAATATTTTACATCTATATAAAATATTTTTTAGAATTTTATTAATATATTATGATATTGTATCTTGGTATTGTATTTCTAGGATGTTAAAGTAAGTTAATCCATGAATTGAGTTAAAATTTGTTGAATTCAATTCGTTAAATCCATGGTGACTTATATGAGTAATGTTTGTTTTGACCAATAGCTAAAAAATAATAATTTTTTCACTTCAATCCTACTCTAACCCAACATGAGCGGATTCTCTCATGGTTCATTTTAAGTATTTGGGCTTCAAAAGTATAAGAACGTATTTATAACTAATGTATGTTAACTAAATTTTATTTAGTAGCATATCTTATCTTGCTAACAACAAAGACCAAAGAAAGAAGTAATGATTTGGACTAAAAATTGTAGAAATGTTTACATGGCATTCTCGTATAAAGAAGAAAACACAATATCTAATGAGGATATCAATTATATCTGAAAATTTAATTGAATCTTATAATTAAAATGTACTCCCTCCAATTTGGACAAAAAGAGAGGAAAGAGGTATTTTGTTATTTACACCTTATTTTTTATACCCTTTTTATTCAGTTGATCAAGAGAAAAAAATAATATTATGTTCCCCTTTTTCTCTTACTTCGTTTTATCTTACTCTCTTTTTCTTTTTCTTTTTTTTTTCTCTTCTTATTTTTTTTCATTTTACTCGGTGAAACTAAGATTGACCTTGGTGTTTGTCCTTGATGAAAAAGAATTATGCATTTTAACAAGTTCATGAAAAAAATTATCAACAACTTTTTCCATGTTACTTTTCAAAGTTATAACAATGAGAAAATTTATTACATTAATAACCCTCTGGTTTAGTATACTTGCATTAATTTCTCTATCAGTATTTATTTGAGAATAAAAAAACAAAGAAAACTAATTTTTTATAAACTAAATTTAGTTTATACAAAAATTGAAAAAAAAAAACTAAAATATTCAATGATTTTAGCTTTGCAAGTTAAATTTTATGATGAGTCCTGATATTTTGACAACCGATTTTAAACATCCATTCGATAACTGAATAAAAAAATATTAAATGCACAGTGTTACCGAATAAAAAATATTAAATGCACAGTGTTTTGGGCAGGTAGCGTCGCTCGAGCGATGTAAATTTCGCTTGAGTGACGACACTTTAGATAGCGGTTAATAACAACCGCTTTTAAAAAAACATATAATATAGCGGTTTGTGAGTGAACCGCTCACTAAAGTATGTTTTTGTTAGCGGTTCAGAAGTAACCGCTATCTAAAGTCATATTCTTTTTCATCCTTTCCTCAACCTTGCGCTCTTTCTGACTGCGTTTTTTTGCCGCTCTCTACGCTCTCATTCTCGCTCTCTGCGTCTTCTATTAAGCTTAAGGTACGTTCTTTGTATTTTCAATCTTTCTGATTCTCTTGCTCACATTGAAGCATATTACATTGTAATATATTTGTGTGTCGCCAAGTTCGCGTTCCAGTCTCCATTCGACTGATCATGTATGTTTATGTGCATTATGAGGTGGTCAGCAGATATATGGTTAAGCCAATAGTAAAACATGACTAAATGTCTATCATAATTAACCACATAATGTTTATATGTCTACAACTCTTAAAAGTGACAAATATCATGTTTGAACCAGATATCGCTCGAGCGAGATTAATGTCGCTCGAGCGAAATACAACCCGAGAATCCCAATTTTTTGCAGGTGGTGTCGCTCGAGCGATGTAAATTTCGCTTGAGCGAATGTTGACCTTGGGCTAAACGTCGATCAAAGTTAGCCGCATAATGTAACATGGGTGACCCCATTCTCAGGAGGTGGCGTCGCTCGAGCGAGATTATTTTCGCTCAAGCGAAACACAACCCGAGAATCCCCATTCTTAGGAGGTGGTGTCGCTCGAGCGATATTATTTTCGCTTGAGCGATATTAGAAAAAAAAGATAATATGATCGATTATTTTAGGTTATAATCGATCATTAACATACGTAAGACAGCGATTTACGGTTAATCGCTATCTAATATATATTTTTAAAAGTGGTTCAAAGTAACCGCTATCTAAGGTCTGTGGTATGTGGTTCAATAGTCGCTCAAGCGAGGATGACATTCCTTGAGCGATGGAACCTGAACCAATAGGGAGCATTGGGTTCTATCTCGCTCAAGCAACGTATTGAACGCTTGAGCGAAAAGTGATTCTAATATGTGGTGAACCAACTTAAATTATTTGGCTAACTGCGATTGATGTTTCGTCATTGGGTATAAACTCGCTCAAGCGATAAAGTTATCGCTCGAGCGACGAAGCCTTCTAAAAGGGAGACTCTCGGGTTCTATCTCGCTCAAGCGACGAATTGAACGCTTGAGCGAAACGTGATTCTAATAGGTGGTGAACCAACTTAAATTATTTGGCTAACTGCGTTTGACGTTTCGTCATTGGGTATAAACTCGCTCAAGCGATAAAGTTATCGCTCGAGCGACGCAACCTTCAAACAATTGAGACTCTCGGGTTCTATCTCGCTCAAGCGACGTTTTGAACGCTTGAGCGAAAAGTGATTCTAATATGTGGTCAACCAACTTAAATTATTTGGCTAACTGCGTGGTCACAGTTTGGGTACTTGAAGAAGTCGCTTCTGAGTGGGTGCGCTTCGAGCTTCCCAGTGGCAGAATTGTTGCACTGAAAAAGCTTCACAAAGCAGAATCTGAAAATCCATCCTTTTACAAGAGCGTTTGCAACGAGACCAAGATCTTGACAGAAATTCGCCATCGTAACATCATTAAGCTTTATGGCTTTTGTTTGCATAACAAGTGTATGTTTTTGGTGTATGAGTATATGGAAAGGGGAAGCTTGTTTTGCAACTTGTCTTATGATGTGGAAGCTCAAGAGCTGAATTGGAGAAAGAGGATAAATATTGTTAAAGGGATAGCCTATGGCTTGGAGTTCAGGATGATCGATCAGAATACAGTTATGACCGATCAGAATAAGATATGATCGATCAGAATTGAATTATGACCGATTAGAATCAATTATGATCGATCAGAACTCTTTTAATCGATTAAATCTCGTTTCAATCGATTAAAACAACTTAGAAAATTTCTACACAGCTTTTTAATCGATTAAAACTTATTTTTATCAGTTAAAATAACTTGAGAAGTTTTACAAGAAAGTTTTGCAGTATTTCAATCGATTGAATCACGAAACAATCGATTAAATCAACTTAGAAGATTTTTTTGTAAAGTGTTTTAATTGATACAAACGTTGTCGTATCAGTTAAAACAAATCTGTTAAAGAATCAAGAACGTATTAATGGATTAAAAGAAGTTTTAACAGATTAAAACTGCACTTTTAACAGATTAAAAGAATCTTTTAACAGATTAATTAAACCAGCAGTTGTGAAAATGTTCTATAAAAACAGAGTTGCTTGAACTTTTTAAACACACATTGAATATCATCTTTTACACATCCTTGAGCAATCAATAAAGCAAACTTCAGCACTCTTTTCAAGAAAGATTCACATCAGTTTTTGAGAAGTTCTTTGAAAATCTTTCTTGAGGCAACTTGTTTTCTTTTGAAGAAGAAACACTTACAGCAGAATTGCATAAAGCTGGTTGTAGAGGTTGTCAAGAAGCTGGAATTTGGTTCTTGGTAAAAGGTTAGGTGTTGGTGCCTGGAATTTGGGCACTCGGGTTCTCTCGCATCTGGAATTTGGTTGTAGAGGTTATCAAGAACTGGAATTTGGTTCTTGTGGTAGAATAAGTGTAAGATTGTAAATCGTAAAACATTTGATCTAGTGGAACCCAGCTGGAATTTGGTCGGAGACTGGACGTAGCCCTGGTATTGGGTGAACCAGTATAAAACACCGGTGATATTAGATAATCTGTTATTTGCGAAAAACTTTTAAAGAACAACTCACCCCCCCTCATTTAGATAGCGGTTATTTGGCCAACCGCTATCTGAACTATACATTATGATCGATTATTATCCAATTATAATCGATCAGATTGACATATATGACTTTACATAGCGGTTATTTGGAAAACCGCTATCTAAACTATGCATTATGATCGATTATTATTATCCAATTATAATCGATCAGTTTTACATATATGACTTTAGATAGCGGTTATTTGGTCAACCGCTATCTGAACTATACATTATGATCGATTATTATCCAATTATAATCGATCAGTTTGACATATATGACTTTAGATAGCGGTTGTTTGGCCAACCGCTATCTGAACTACATTTATTATAGCGGTTATTTTGCCAACCGCTATCTAATATATATTTTTAAAAGCGGTTCTAATTAACCGCTATCTTAGGTCTCCTCGCGCTCAAGCGACTATGTAATCGCTTGAGCGACAGTTGAACCTTTACCAAACGAAACCATCGCTTAAGCGACAAAACCTTCAATTGGTGTGAATATTTGTGTATGAAGTAGATTAAACTGTTAATTTGACATGAATATTTTTCAATTGGTGTGTTTGGATGTAGCAGAGAGTCATGTAATATTTTTTTGCACAAAAACCTGATAATTTGTTAGATTAATTTGTCAAATTTTGAATTGTTTTCTATACTTCTGTGAATATATAATTCTGTTAAATTCTGTGAATATAATTCTGTGAATATATAATGTCAAATTTACATTGATGTTTATATGTCTACAACAATTAAAATTCACAAGTCATTCATTATTACAATCCTTCAATTTCATGTTAACAAATTGTTCCACCATTTCGTTGTACACAAGACACTATATAATTGCATCCTGTCTTTTCTTTCCGGTGGCACTTGCACCAACGAGGGTTGACATATGACCTCGATGAAGAACATGACCTCTTGCCTTTGTCCTCACCTGGCACCGACAAAAGAAAAAGAGTGTCAAAGAGACTGAGGATTATAATGAAACATCACTATAATGCCAGTTTAAATACAATTGGACAAAGAGACTCGAGTGTCAAAGATATTGTTTTATTCTAAAACAATGATCACTAACTCGACCATCGACTAACTAGTTCTCTTATAATATTGCTTGATATTTGCAATGGCTCTTTTATTTGAAGAAGTCATTTAAACGGAGTTTGTTCAATAGCTGCTCGTTGGTGTTTGGTCAACTTTGAATTTATATCGGCTATATACTCTGTCTCAATCTTGTGTCTTAATCTTATCTGCACATATAACATGTATAACATATATAACATACATAACATATAACAAATTGAATATTTAGTAAATCACTTTTCATAAAAAAACTATAATTAACATGCACATACCTTTTTCTCGTCAAGACGGTCTCTTTTTGCAGACATTTTTTCCCAAACTAATCCTGTTACAAATTATTAAAATTGTAACTTACAATCACAAAATAGTACAAACAAAAAAATTAAGTCCAACCATGTTACACATACTTTTGGTCAAATTGTGAATTATGCAAACGTGGGTGTAAATCTTGTGCATATTATACAAAATGTTTGTCATGCAAATACAATTCTTCATTGTAGCATTTTATCAAACACTTGTTGGACATTAATATAGCATCACAACTCAATTAACCTTAAACCCTACAGAATACTTTCATTACAAACCCAATCAAAGATAAACAGAAAACAAAGCAAGAATGCGCAAATACAATTCTTCATTATAGCATTCCATCAAACACTTGTTCGACATTAATATAGCATCACAACTCAATAAACCCTAAACCGTGAAAAACACCTTCATTACAAACCCAATCAAAGATAAACAGAAAAGAAAACAACAATGGAAACCCAATAAAAAATACACACAAAATCAAGCAAATGTTGTTAAACGAACACTCACCACCGCAGGGTCGCTCAAGCAACACACAGTGATGTTCAGCTCCAACGACACAGACGAAGCCAAGCGACAGGAAGTCGAGCGCCGTGAAGAGCGAGATGGAGAAATTTTACCCTAAGTCGACGGAGAAGAAGTCGAGCGAGGAAGAGCGCGAATGTGAAAAGCGGAAATCACACTTCTTCAAACGTATCTTTCACTTTTTACAATAACATCCCCCATTTTTACAATATTACATCTCTACCCCTCTATAATTTTACTAATCAAACCCTTATTTTTAATTATTTTCTTTTTAACCTCGATTGTCGAACGGATGTTTGTTTTCAGTTGTCAAAGAATCGTTTTCCTTTTATGATATATAAAGTAATTTTAATTTATGAAAAATATTTTACTTTTTCTTGTACAAATGTTTGATAACAAAAAAATCATTCGTTAAACCATGCCAACTTCCCAAAGTAAGTGAACAAAATATATAAATTTTTTATTTCAAAACTAAATCGAGAAACAATTTGAAGCATGTGAATAAAAAACTAACTATTAAACAGGGGTTATATGTTGTAGTTACTTGTTAAGAAAAATAATTACACAAAATGAGATCAAACAATAGCATGTCATTATTAAAGAAAAAAAAGAACACATTTTTAAAATTTAAAATAATTACAAAAATCATATCTAATCTAATATAATTGTACTTATGTGATATTGAAATGAACACGAAGGTTATAACTATGTGTCCTTTTATGATGATCATAATGATTAAGACATGAAAAAAAAATTATTGAAGGAGTGACCAAACTAGGCATCAAGATTGAGAAGAGACAAAATGTGGCGACGGTGTCTCTTATGTTTTCCTTTCATTTTTCATTAAGCCTTTGTGATTGAGTGTGTGTGGAAACCCTAAAGCACAATTCATTGCATAATTGGGTTTATATTCTGTCTCAAACCCTTTTCCTCTTTACTTTTTTAGAAAATCTCGAAAGAAACTCATACGTGATGTGATGCAGAAAAGAGAGATAATCATGAACTAACTACTTTACACCTTCAACAACCAACTCTTTGTATAATTTGTGTCTAGAAGTACCATGAAGTATAATTTTCCTTTACATTATATTGATTTAAACTATAAAACTACATAGTACAACTATTAATATTGCACCACGGGCTAGAGATTGAAAATTTCTATTTATGAGCAAGCATTTTCATGGCTAATTAGTTAAGACAAAACATGATTTGAATAAGAAAATGCACTAAAAAAATAATCAAATAATTTATTTCACAAATAGTTGACTATTGTAATTTTAAAAAATCTAAATAATCTTTGCATTAATAAGCTGAATACTATAATTATTCAAATTAAGTAAAAATAATGAGAATTAAAGTAATTTATAAGACTTCAAATACACTTTGCAAAAGCTATTCGAGGAGAATGTGCTTTAATTATTGTTAATTTATTTATTAAAACTGAGTATTTAAGGTGAGAATGGAAGATTTAAACTAAACGAAATTGCATCATACAAATGCCTCAAGCAAAAACATTAACAAACGATGTTGTAATGCAAAACTAGTTTGGGATTTGATTTATCAAACTGTGAGCATGTTTCATCAGACATGACATAAACAGAGACTTGAGATACAAAACCAAGGTACCACACTCTAACAACAGTCCAGCAATGCACACAAACAGAACATGTAGATAATCTGGATCAATCTAAAGCCCACTTCGAGATCAACTTGAGGCATATAGTTTACTCATAGATCCAAGAGTGTTGGGAGCTTTGCCAGTTAGCAGGGCCCTCAGGGAACCACAATGCAATTTCCTTGTGAGCACTCTCAACTGAATCACTTCCATGGATAACATTCCTACACAAGAACAAGTTCATTACAAAATATACAAAATTCCCTCTAAAGAAAACAATGAAATTAATTAAAAGAAAGTTACTGAAATTCATTGGAAATCACAATGATTTTTTCATAGGTATCCCCTTTGAATTTAAAGTGACAGTAAATACCAAGTTCATTTGAAAAGGTAAAAGAATCACTTATAATTGATCAATGAAATCAATCAAATATGTAGTATCCACACTTTAGAAAGAAAGAAAGATCCATGTTAAGCATTGACTAAAATACCAACAATTTTGATATTGATGAATACAATAACATAGAAAAATAAAATGGATTTCTTGGATTCGTCTCCCTTGATTCTAATTTTTAACACATTATAAGAATAGGTTTTGGACACTCTTGTGTTTAAAACACAGGCATTTTTGGAAACCTTGTTTCTAAAACACGAGATAAAAATTGAAGATCAAACAACAAAAAGATAACCTTCATATAAGAATGGAAAATTCATATAATTTTGATGCAGCTTAAACAAAAAAATGTAATAAACTAGATTGAAGAACGAGATTGTGATGCATACAAATATATATATACCTTCCAATGTCAATAGCAAAGTCACCACGAATAGTTCCAGGCTCAGATTGAGCTGGGTTAGTGGCTCCAATGATCTTTCGGCCAGTAACCACAACATTCTTTCCCTCCCAAATCATGGCAACAACAGGGCCAGAGATAATGTAATCCACCAATCCACTGAAGAAAGGCTTGGCAGACAAATCAGCATAGTGCTTTTCAGCAAAAGGACGATCGACAGTAACAAGTTTCAAACCTGAAACCAAATCCCATCAAACAATCATTCATTAATAGTAATTTCAAAACTCAAAAATTGATCATGACATAATTTTGGCGTTCACAATCATGTATATGAATAAGACTTCATTACAAATAGGTTCTAAATCAGAAACAAAAACAATAGGTTTTAATCTTAGGTTGCTCTCACAATCACAACAATTATTCCGTAGTTAACTAATGATTACCTTTCAAGTAGAAACCTTTCTTCTCAAATCTGCTAATGATCTCGCCAATCTGAAACAGAATCACTTATCAGTCAAATATTAATAAACCTCAAATCACACTCATAAACCTTCAAATTTAAAACATCTACACAAACATCGACACAAGTAAACTCATAGTCAAAACAACCATCGACCAATTTTCCGGAAGTCCATAAGTAACAAACAAATCTTCTAAATAGACAAGTTTCCCAAAACACAAAAACTTATCATCAAACCAACCCATTATCTGAAAAGACTAGCAGACCACTTCCTCAAAACTCAAAATTTCGCAAAACCCAAAAACAAATCACTCACACAATCATCGATCAATTTCCTGAAGTGCATGAATAAAAATCCACAGAAAAAGAAATTAAAACAGAAGCACCACCCCCATGAAAAAAAAAATTGCTTAAAACTCCACATAGAAGCACGTATATATATATATATATATATATATATATATATATATATATATATATATATATATATATATATATATATATATATATTATTTTTTTTTTTTTTCACCACATTCATTAACAAAATCCATACTTTTAACTAACCCAAAATGAATTTGAACGAACTAAAGAGAAGCAAAAAAGAAAAAAGTTGTTAGAGAGGGAAACGCACAAGGCCTCTCTGAACGCCATCAGGCTTGATCATGATGAAGGTTTGCTCGGCCATCTCTCACTTCTGATGTTTGTTTACGGTATGTCTGAGTGAGTGTGTATGTGAGAGAGAGCGTGCGTTATACTCTAGAACAATTGGAGAGAAAAAGGGTATTTATATACGGGTGCTGATGAACCCTAACCCTAGTTCACGAACGAATATTCTGACTTTGGTCTTGGGAATCATTTAACTTTTTTTTTTCTTTTTTTTTTCTTTTATCTTGATAAAGTGTTTCTTTTATTTTGTTACCTATATATTCTAATTCTCTCTTTTGGACAAAAAGATTTTTTTTCAATATTTTCTCATTACAGTCATACCTACCTATGATGCTTTGAATTATTATTTCCCATAGAATTAGGGGAACTTAAAAGGAAAATAACAAGTAAAAAGTACATGAAGTAGAGAACACAAGGAGAAAATATATATTTTGCTTGTTCCATTTTACATATTTTATTTTAAGAAAAGGCTATATTTTTTAAAAAGTTTTCATTTTTTTTTCATTTTTTTCTAAAATAAACATATGAATAATTTTATTGAAAAAATGTATCATATACCTAACTACATTAATAAATATCTAAACATAAGGGAAATTATCTTTAATATTATGTATGGACAGTGGAAAAAAAGAAAAATAATAAAAATTCTCTTTTTTAAAAAAATACATAATTAATTATGTCTCAATTTTTATTATTTTTTAATTATTAAAATAATTAATTATATAAAATATTAAAATAATAAATAAAATTATTTTAAATTAATAAAATAATATTTTAATCAATTATATCTTTTATCATCTTTTTATTTTTTTTATTTTTTTACTTTTTACTTTTTTAATTTAAACAATTTATTTTTTATTTTTTGTTCTCAATTTCTGTTTCCAAATATTCATTTTTCAATCAAAACACAAATTAGAGTTAAATGCATGATTAAAACCTCAAAAATTAAATGCATGATTAAAACCTCTAAAATTAAATGCATGATTAAAACCTAAAAATATAGGAAGTTCATTCTAGAGACACTAATACAGGTTGAAGATTGCACGTGGAGCAACAAAAAGGCATAATTATCGATTTTAATGATTAATTTTAATTTTGATTATAATAATTTTATATAAAATTTATAATACACATTTTAATAAAATAATACTAATTTTAATTTTTGTAAATATAATTATTGTTTTAAAAATTGGCTTAGATAACAAGATTAAAATCACCTAATTTAATTTATGTCACATATAAAAAACACACACATTACAGTGACGTCTAAACTATTCTTTTAACTATTTAAAACTAACACGATCAGTTGGTGGTCCAATTAATCTTCTTAAATCGATTTTAAATTATCATTACTCATTATGACGGTAAACTTTAGACAAATTATAATTGTACAATAATAATTTGTAGAACAGCTAATTTCATTTCATTCACCAACTGTGATTATGTACAATTCTTTATTTTCTGATTTGTTTTGTTTTTGTAATATATAATTATGAATTGTTCTAAATTCATTTTATGTAAATATTTTTTCAATCTTAATATTTGCATTTTTTTTTGTCTTTTATCCTCCATTTTTTAATTACTACTATTAAACTTTATGTATTTTTTTATGTTGGGTTAAACATTTTTAAACATATTATCATATAAAACAAATTTAAATATATAACTTATAATATTTGTTAAAACATATACTTTAGTAATTTAAAAAAATAAATTTTTTATCTTTGTTATAAAAAAATTAAATAAAAAATTCTTATTTAAGATTATTTATAAATAATTATTATCTCTCTAAACTTTAAATCATTTGATTTTTCTTTAAAAATTTATCACCCAATTCTTATCCTTTTTTAGATTCAAGCACACTATTATGTTTCTACTTACGAGATGAACATTGTTATCTAATTATAATCTTAAATGGGATAAGTTTTTCTTTGTCTAATTTTAGAGTATTTTTACAAATCTATACTAAGATTTGCATATAATATGTGACTTTTGCATGTGACCTTCATTGAGTGAAGATGAATCTTATCTAGTTAAAGAATAATGTGGTAGGTTCAATCTGTTAATTGGAGTTTATAAGCGTAATATGACTTCCTAAGAAATTAGGAATTTGGGGCATTCAAGCTTGAGGATTCTAATTTAAAAAGATAAAATAATTATTTTTCAATTTTTATAATACTCTAGATTAGAAGATTTATATTATAAATGTGACTTGTTCACATTATTTGATTTGTAGGAATTTGCTTATTGGTATTATATCTTAAATTGTTATTAAATGAGTTGACTTAGAGTAATAATATGTGTAAAATATTAGGATATGATAATTATATTTTGACTAGATATGACATATTTTAGAAGAAAATTGAGTAATAAAGTATTAAACGATAATGTTTAATACTTGAAAAGTGGTTTAACATGAATTATGTAGGTTTATCATCTGCATATTTCGCTCTAACAACAATTTGTCGCTTAAACGAAATGTGCAGAAGAGAAAATGGTTCCTCTCGAGTGCATTTTCACTTAAGCAAAAAACTCTTAGGCTTGTCTAGTTGTATTTTCACTCAAGTGAAGAAATTTTTCTAAAGTGAAAATGAGTCTCACTTAAGTGAGAAAATGTCCGCTCAAGCAAAAAAAAACTCCAAGTGAAGTGGGTTTATCTAGGTGTATTTTTCTCAAGTGAAAGTGAATCTTGCTCAAGAAAAAACTTCCAGTGAAATGGTTTTGTCTATATGTATTTTTGTTCAAGGGAAAGTGAATCTCACTCAAAGGAGAATATTTTGCTCAAACAATAAATTTTCAAGAAAAAAGGTGATATTTGAGAAGATTTTTGTTTAAGCAAAGTTTCTTAAAAGTTTTTTGTCTTAAATTGTAAAATTTATAAAAAAATAGTTCTAAACTCTAAATTGATCATTTCATATATACAAATTGAAGCTCTAGAAATATGAAATCTAATGTAACAAGAATTAGCCAAAAATGATATTTGTAGAGAAAGTTATGACCAAAAGAATAAACAAATGTCAAATTCCATCAAATTTATTTTTGTTATATTATGAGGAATAACATGTATATGATTTAGAATGTTAAAATACATGTTATAAACGTGAAATAATGTTGTTGAGTGTTATTATATATATAAAAAATATATCAGTGTAATATGAAAAATAGCATGAGATATCCTTAAATTTATGTCATATATATGTGATGTATTGATGAAAGTTAACCTACTAATTTCCAAAGAAGAAATATTAGGTTGAAATGTAGGTAATGTATATTTTAGAGAAGATATCCTAACATTAGTGATGTTGGAGTCACATAGACAAAAATATCATGTGATGAGAGTTAAAAGGAAGTCTTTATAACTTTATTTGTAATGTAAAAAAGAGTTGTATCTAACAAGTCGTAGAAATTTTGTAACACCTTGAATTTAAGATAGAATATAATGTATTAAATTGTACTATTGGATAATTTAAATATATTTATTTATAATAAAACAAACATTTATAAAAAAATATTATTATTGTTAAATTATTATTAAAAATAAATAAATATTTATTAAAAATTATTATTATTATTATTGTTTAATTTATAAAAATAAAAGAAGGAAAAAAATATTAATTGTTATTTTTCACTTTTAAAAAAATAATAATTATTACTTTTCTTTTTAAAAAAAACAATTATTATTAATAATATATATAATTTTTTTTAAAGGAAGATAAGATTAACTTATTTCATGAAGAGATAAGTTTTATCTTAAAGTAATGATTAAGCATTTAAGAGGCTAACTCTGATCGTACTTTATATGTATTTATTTTATCTCTAGTTAAACATTGATCGTGATTATATTTATTTATCTATCTATCTTCAATTACACATTAGTCTTATTATATTTATCCCCACTTATGCATGGGTCCTTATTCATTGATTTATATTTATATTATTTAATTATTTTTAATAATAATATTTAATTATGAAGATTTGATGATATTGTAGATGGAGGTTAAATATTGAGAATTGAAATGAGTAAATATCACTTAAGAGAATGATTAAAATTAGGCTCATTTATCTTGAATAATCACTACAAATTTAATTTAAATCTTCATAATATAAAATAAATGAAGTATGATGATGAAATTGAAAAATATATTTTATATATCTATGAGATTGTATTATTTTAAATGATAATTGTTTTCACTTCTTTATTATTATCTCTTATGCATGTTACAACTAAAATATTAATATAAATAGATGAAGACATTAAGATAAAATACAAGTATCATTAATAAATCAATTGGAAGAAAAATATTTGTCAATTTAAATAATTGTTTTTTGATATAGAAACAATGTAAATTTGTAAAGTTTATTAATTTATACATATAAATATATAAACATTTATTTTATGTTACTTTTGTCAAAATTTAATGAAAACTAGTATATAGTTAAATTAATAATTTAATAAAAAGGGATGTCAAATATTTACCTTGTTAAGGGAAGTTTTGATCTATAAGTTATATTGAAGAAGTCATAGTGTGATAGGTGTTGTCATGTAAGTATAAATTTAACACATGTGATGAGATGTAACTTTTTGACTAAGAGATTAGATACTTAATTTATTATATAGTTGGTGGTAATTGATTAATTTATTTATGATGTTGATATTGAAAATATTTTGTAATTGAAGAATTTTATCACTAGTTTCCAGTGTGTTGATATGAATTACGATGAATATGATGTTACACATGTAGATGATAATTCAGATAATCAATATCATTATTGAGTTTCAGGAAACTCTATATTTCAATTATTTTGTTTAAAACTATTTACAAAATATTTTATATAATATGATAATAGTTATTTTAAAATATTTAGACATGTAATATAAATACTAAATATATTTATGTCTTTAATTATATTAGTATTTTGTTTAAATGTAATTTTTTTGAAACGTTATAAGATTATTATCTAAAAATATGAAATTTACTCATTTTTATTTATTGTCAGCCAAGGTGCAGCAGAAAGCAA